CTATTGTGGAGGCTCCCCCACCTCGAAATGTTAGCCAGCTTCGCTCGTTTCTAGGACTATTGAACTATTATGGAAAGTTCATCTCACAGTTTAGCCACACTGCTAAAACCACTTCACGAACTCCTTGGGCAGAACAAGGCCTGGAAGTGGACTGAAGCCTGTGATGTTGCATTTAACAAAGCTAAGGATGCATTGCTAAATTCTGAAGTTCTGATGCACTTTGATCCATCCTTACCCCTACAGTTGGCCTGCGATGCATCCCCTTATGGAGTGGGAGCAGTCGTATCACACATTATGCCTTTGGGAGAAGGGAGACCTATTGCTTTTGCTTCGCACACTCTAAGCAAAGCAAAAACTAACTATGCCCAAATCGAATGTGAGGCATTGGGAATCGTTTTAGGAATTCGCAAGTTTCATCAGTACCTGTTCGGATGGAAGTTTACTTTTCTTACAGACCATAGACCCCTGACTTCAATTTTTGGACCCCACATAGGCATTGTGCTGCATCCTGCATTAGCTGCTAGTCGTATGCAACGTTGGGCATTGTTGCTTTCCGCACACACATATGAAATCAAATATCGGAAATCCACTCTGTATGGCAATGCGGATGGTCTCTCAAGGCTGCCTTTACCAGTCCAATGTCAAGATATTGCCCAGAAGGAAATCTTTTACTTTAAACAGGTAGAGAATACACCCATCACCACTACTCAGGTAAAGAAGGCAACTCGAGTTGACCCAGTATTGTCCCAAGTTATGGACCTGGTGATGCATGGAACATCTCGACAAACCTCTCCGGTCTCACCCGACCTTGTTGGACCAGCTACATTCCGGTCACTGGGGAATAGTGCGCATGAAGGAAATTGCACAAAGCTATTTTTGGTGGCCTGGATTGGACAGTGCTATTGAAGAGAAGGCAAGAGCTTGTATGTCATGTCAGGGTGTGAGGAATGCCCCTCAGTGGGCACCCCTACACCCATGGACTGGCCTGAAAACCCGTGGCAACATATTCACATTGACTTCGCTGGCCCCCTTGAAGGAAGCATGTTCTTGGTGGTGGTAGATGCCCATTCTAAATGGCCAGAAGTCTCTGTAATGCAGACCACTACTGCAGAGCGTACTATCTAAAAACTACTTTAGTCATTTCGGTCTTCCAGAACAACTTGTGAGCGACAATGGACCGCAGTTCGTCTCTCAGGAGTTTCAAAATTTTATGAAGGCAAATGGGATACACCACATCACTTCAGTACCATATCATCTATACACCAATGGATTAGCTGAAAGATTTGTGCAGACAATTAAACAAGCTTTGAAATTGGCAAGGGGACAAATTATCCATTCAAAAGCATCTGGACACCTTCTTACTATCCTAAGGAAACACACCTCATGCTATGACCAAAGCATCCCTGGCCTTTCTAATGATGGGACGACAGCTGCGCACTTGCTTTGATCTGCTGAAACCTTCTGAACCCCGACAAATTGTGCAACATCAGCAGCAAGATCAAGTCATCAGGCATGCACCCAGAGCAAAAGACTGAACCTTTAGCAGGGGACAGCCGGTTTTGGCTTGGAATTATACTTCTGGAGCTAAATGGGTCCCTGCCACTGTCATCACTCAAACAGGGCCTGTTTCCTACACAGTCCGGACTGCAGAGGATCTCACCTGGCGGCAACATGCAGATCAGCTGCTGCCAGGTCATACCAGTCCTCAGGACACATCTTCAGTTGAGCTGTCTCACTTCCCCACTTCTGGTGAGACACCGAATCAAGAGTCACCTGTTCCTGACTTTTCCCCTCCATTACTGCTGGCGGCAGAGATACCCCTCTGCCCGGCACGAGCTGATACCACATCCTCACCCATTGACCCTACGAACCCTGAGCCCATTGTCAGGCTCGCGCCCAAGACACTTTCGGGTGCAATAACACCAGAAGTCTGCCGTAATCCACCTAGAGACAGAAGGTCTCCTCAATGGCTGGCTCTTTAGCTAGGGTGAACCCACGGTTACAGGGCAAAATAATCCCTGGGATTTAGCCAGGAATGGAGGCAGTCTACCCTCCTTCTCTAATTTAGTGTTTGTTTTATTCAGGGAACATTCTTATTAAGAAGGGAGGAATATGTTGTGTATTTGGTTGTCATGGTAATAGAATCTTGTATTGCTATGGCAACTGAGTTGGATTATTAGGGAATAGCCCAGCCAGTCTTGGCTGGTTTTTGGTTAGTCCAGTGTGTGGCAATAAATGGCTGCTTTCAAGGTTTACAGCTCTCTGTGTCTCCAGTGATTTCTTCCTAAAACTGTTGCCCCCAAGGATATAATAGAAAAGGGGCCCCGGCCACCGGGAATGGTATTCCAGGAGGCGGCCGGAGCAGACTGCAAAGCGGCAAGCGGAGAGGTCACAGCTACCTGGGCATACGCCCTGGGGACCGAAGGAGCAGCACCTCCAGGGCTGGGAACAACGGGTCGGGGAAGAGAGGGAGCAGCGGCCGTCAGCAGGCCACAGCAGGAGAAGGAACCGCCGCCACAGGAGGTTTCGCCTTCCGGGCGGGGCCCTTGCCCTTCTTTGTCCCCCCGCCCAGGTCCACCGACCAAGGGAGTGGTCTCAGAAGCAGGGATGCAGGGGTCGTAGCAGCAGCAGCAGAGTCTTGGGAGTCCCTATCCAGGCCCGCCATCGCCAGTGCCTCAGTGGCAGCGATGGCAGTCAACCTGACAGCGGCAGTCAAGGCAGCCATCACAATGGAAGGTGGGAAGGGAGACTAAAGGGGAGCTGCAGGGGAGTCCAGGGAAGTTCCACCCCCCGAATCACCCACCACAGTAAGGGAGGGACAGCCATTTAGGGCAGGAAACAAAGGAAACGGAGGGAAGGGAGGGATGAAGGGGAGGGAAAGGGAGGAAGGGGGGGAAACTGTTACCACACCCCACCTGCTAGGCTGAAAGCAGGTTGGAGAGGCGCCAACAGAAAGGGACACAGGAAAACAACTCCCAGCACAGGATGAAGAAACCGGCTCCCCAGCTGAACTAAGAAAAGGAGGGGAGAACTAAAACAGTGAGCAGATTAACGAAAAAAGGGAGGAATCTCAGGCACTCAAATTGGAACGTGGGCATGCAGGCAAAGAAGGTAAACCGGGAGGGGGGGAACAACAAGGGATCGGAATGAAGGAGGGGTCAGATCAAGTATGCCACAGGTGAGGAGCAAAAAACAGGGTGAGTTCAAAAGAAAACAAACCGAAAGGGAGGAAATGGGGCTGGCAACCATGCCCGCACTGCGGGACAAGGGCGGGGCAAACGAACTAACCAAGGACCAACAAAGAAAGAAGCCCTGCAAAAAACAGAGCAGGGCAAAACAGAGCAAACGGGGTGGCTAGAAGGGGGCAGACAGGGAAGGCAGCAAAGGAAAAGGGGACAAATAGCTGCAAGAACAGGACAGTGGGCGAGGCAGAGGGGAAGGGAGTCCACCAGCCAAATGCAGCAGGGGAGGGAGGGCAAGTTCAAGGGAGCGGAGAGGGAACGTGCACCCACATGTGCCCGAAAAACAAATGCCTGCTCCCTGCGGCTACTGTCCCAAGATGGGAAAAAGGACAGAGCAAACTGCTGGGCTGGGGAGTGGAGAGCAGAGCCAGATAGTAATTGGGAAGGTAGAGGGGGTGGTGGCGGCAATAGGGGAGTGAACAGACCAACGGGAGAGCTCCACGCCAGTCCCCCAGCTCCCCACTACAACGGCACCTACCACCACAGAAGCAAGGATGTTACAAACCCCCTCCACAAAACAGGGCCTCCTCCACTCCCTCCCCAGCTTCAGCAGCAGTAACCAGGCTCTCCAAAAGCAGTAGCAAGGGCAGCAGCAACCCAGCTAGGGGAGGCCCCAAAAATGGTGGAAAAAGTGGAGCCTCACACTCCCCTCTGAGGTCATACCAGCAGGGTCCTCCCCACAGCAGCAAGCGGGGCAACCGGCCAGCGGGATGGTCTTAAAGGACTGGAAGGCAGACAGATCAGTCTTCTGAATGAGCAGGTCCCCTGGATAGCCAAACAAAGGCTACTCCAGACCAATTAAGACACCTGATGCCAATTAACCTATTAAGGCTGTTAGGCTAATAGAGACAGCTGGAACCAATCAAGGTCCCACTTATACTGTTTAAAAGCTCTCCTTCCAGTGCCCTCTGGAGAGCTGAGGTGAAAGGAGTTGGAGGAGAGGAAGCATTGCTGAACCTTGAGGTAAGGGTAAAGCTAGGAGAAGGGGACCATGGGGGAAGTGGCCCAGGGAATCAAGGCAGCATCAGTGGTGAAGGGAAAGCTGCCAACAGCTGCCACCATTAAGGTCACTGGGTTGGAACCCAGAGTAGAGGGTGGGCCTGGGTTCCCCCTGCCTTCCTACTCTACAGAGATCCTCTAGAGAAGGGAAGCAGACTCAGTCTAGGCAGGAGACTGAACTGTGCCTACTGAGTGCTACAGAGCAATAGAGATTAGGGTGGCTAGATGTCCTGATTTTATAGGGACAGTCCTGATTTTTGGGTCTTTTTCTTATATAGGCTCCTATTACTCCCCCATCCCCTGTCCTGATTTTTCACATTTACTGTCTTGTCATCCTAACAGAGACTGTGGGGTATTCCCCCTTCCCAACTCCTGCATTGGCTGGTGGTGAAAGTAATTGAATAGGCTGTGACTCTTGCCACTACACTGAGAAAGAGAGATCACATTGGGGCCTTATTGAGTTTGAGGCCACTGAATCTGCCCAGAAGTGTGGGATCCATCAATACAGGCTTGGAACTTTGTCACAATACATACTGTTTTCCAAATAGTTAGATACATGTCTAATTTATATGAGGAGGAGGATAAGACATCCCTTGTGTAAGTGTGCATTCTGGGATGATATTATTTAGATGAAAAGTTCACAAAAATATTCTGTACAATTAAAGGACAACAAAGAACAGCAAATAACTAACAGATGTTTTCTCCTAGATGTAGTTTATACTGTAGTTCTTCAGGTTTTCAACTGAGTTACTTCCCTACCTCCAAACTGGGAATTGTCTGTCTTTTCCCACGAGGAGCTTCAAAGAACAGCTGCTCTTTAGCACCAGTGTTGACTTGTAAAAGCTTCCCTGTAAAATATATAAATTACATACCAGTATATTAACACCAATTTGGAAATTCAACTTCACTGAACAAATGTGAATTTGGAAATTTTCTGTTAATTTCCCACAAATTATTTGTTTCCACTTAATTCATTTTTTAAATTAATCATGCATTTAGTATTCAGTACTACTTGAGGAAAAAAGGTTATTCTTCCATGTGTGAGACAAAGCAAGGATTTCTTTTCTTGGAAAAGATATGCAACAGTACATTGCTCAGAAAGTAGAAATCAAACAATACATTACATGTAAGACATATAAGAATCTAGATAGAACTTTTATCTTACTTCATTAAATTGCCTTCTTTATAGGTGTCTAAATTAGGTATTTTTACCCACATAACATCAGCATCCTTAACTGAGGGAATGAATCTGCCATTGGCATCATAAATTCACATTCTGGGTGTACCAGATAAAATAAAGCATAATCTGCATGTTTAGGTTAACAGAGAATATTACCCTTTGACTTCCAATGAAATTTAGGCTCCTACATGCTTAAATCACTTTTGAAAATAGGATTTAGGCTCTCTTGAAAACTTTACCTATAATCTAATTTTGCAGTTGTCATTTATATCCACAAATTATTACTTGCCTCTGATGTCCCAGTCCATGTGTGTTATGTAACTGGAGGCGCCCTTGCAGATTCCTACTCGCTTACTGCTCATTACATTGTAGATGTCTACAAAGCTGTCACATGATGCCACTGCTAAGTATTTTCCAGCACCTAAAATAAATTGGAACATAAGACATTTTTCAATCACTTCAGTGTTTTAAACCTTAGTGGATAAGCTATTACCCTTTGACTTTTTGGATCTCAGTTAAATTCAATTTCCAGCTCTTTCTGAAATAGATGTGGTGATCCACAACCAACCCCTGACAGATTAGCATCTATATCACAAAATAACCAAAAATGTCACAGACCTTGTCTACACTTGTGGTGGCATGTAGGGTATGTGTAGCTACATGTGGCAGGAAAAGGCAGGCTGCATCTACACTCACTGCAGTGCATAACTATATGTGGCAGTGAAAGGCTCCAGATGCTCCCCACTGCTGGAGCCTTTCAATGTGGTGAAGAAAGGTTCTGGCAAGGAGAAGGCAATAAGACACTACACTGCTAAAAAGAGCAGTGTAGACAGGGCCCCAGAGAGGCACTGCTTGGGCACGAAGAGCACATGTGTAGGGTATATATATCTTGGGGTTCAGGCATGCACTCTACTTTACTCACCCAATCAGTGCCTCACTGTCTACACCAGTGGTTCTCAACCAGGGGTTCGCGTACCCCATGGGATACGCAGAAGTCTCCCAGCGGTTACATCAACTCATTTAGATATTTGCCTAGTTTTACAACAGGCTATATAAAAAGCACTAGCAATGTCACTACAAATTAAAATTTCATACAGACAATGGCTTGTTTATACTGTTACATTTCAGAGTATAGTACATAGATGTACAATCTTTATATTACAATTGATTTATTTTATAATTTTATGATAAAAATGAGAACATAAGCAATTTTTCAGTAATAGTGCATTAGGGCTTTCCTCCCCCTTGCTTGGTTCTTGTCAAGCAGACAGAAAGCAGAAGACCATAGTCCAAAGTGCAGGCAAAGTGATGTTTATTGGGGTTAATCTAACAAGCATATCCATAGCTCTGTACACCGTAGAACTTTCCTTCTTCCCCTGCCCTTTCTTAGCAGGCATAATTATACCTGTAGTGCACGCCCTTGGTCCCACCCCTTACAATTTATGGTCGTGTTCCATTTTGGAGGGTCTTGAGTCTGAGGGCTTTGGTACCACCTCTTTTGTACCCCATGGGAGGGGGTAAGCAGTGAGGTTATGTTTCAGCCAGTGTCACCTTTTCTCTGTTTTTTTAGTATTTTTTTTTATGCTTTTTCCCCCTCATCCCATCTTGCCCCTCCTGACTGGTTGCTTGGCCTTGCCTTGATATAGGAGTCGAGGCAGTCTTCAAGTGTATGCTCATATATTAAACTCCCATCATACCCAGCAACACTTTAACTCTCTTCCTTATCTCACCTCATTGTGCTATAAACGCCATCTCTTTAGACAGAAGTAAACAAAGTGTCTTTGTTCTTTGTTCACACATTAGTATCAAAAATCAAATTCAAAATTCTATCCCAGGCTAAGAAACAGGCCTATATACTAACACTGTGCTGTGACACTTGTATTTTTATGTCTGATTTCGCAAGTAGTTTAAGTGAGGTGAAACTTGAGGTACGCAAGACAAATCAGACTCCTGAAAGAGGTACAGTAGTCTGGAAAGGTTGAGAGCCACTGGTATACACCGCTAGTTATACTCCTCCCAGCTGGGTGTGCAGTGTTTGCACTCTACACCTGGTTGTAAGGCTAAACATTCCCATAGTCTGACACAGACAACCCCTGTATCTTTAAGGAACAATCAGAAGTGAAAACTTGAAAATCCAACCATTCTTTCCTTCACAGAGGAAGGCATGTGTAATATTAAGGTTGAGGTAACAGCAGGGAAGAATTTGTGTGATATTTTGCACCATGTATCTGCATCAAACTTTGTCTATAGGTAACAAGACTGCTTCCACTGAGGTGTTAATGCCTGGGGCTATACATTTGGGTTCCTAAATGGGAGCTGAGCTCTTCCAAAAAGCTGACCCCAATCAGGGGTGCTGAGCACTTTCAAAAATCTGACCCTAAAGCATTAATTGCTCTCTTTAGCTATGAGTAAAGTTTCATGAAGATACATAGTGTAAAATGTCACACAGAGACTGTCCTGTAGTGACCTCTAACTAATACAAGTTGCCAGATTTTCCAGAGCTCACAACACTTAGCAGTTCTCATTATTTGCAATAGGAGCTAATCACCTGAAAATCTAGTCATTACATTTATGTATCTAAATATGAGCTGAGCTCTTCTGATAATCCTGCCCTTAGCCTCCAAAGTGTGATAATGTATCCAAGCAACATCAAATGATAATATTAATTCCATTTACTAAACAATGATAGATATAAAACAGGAGAACAAATTTTCATTTTCCCGTTCTTTTGAAGGCGATCCAGAAGGTCCACAAGAGATGAAGAATAAGATTTATGTCCATTTGTTTCTTTCAAATTTCCATAGAGTGCATAAAGACAGGAACATTATCAAGGTTTTATATCTGAAAAGTGACCTTCCTTTAAAACATTCTAACAATTGATTTGATACAATTATGGAGAAACACAAGTGTGTTCAGTGAAGAAACCAAAAATCCCAGTATGCATGCTTATAATTTACCACAGATATGAAGTTCAATCAAGTTGGCTTTGATAATTATCACTTTAATGGATCACTCACCAGGAGAAAATCTAATCTCTGAAATAACATCCTTCCTGTGGTGGAAGGAGACTAAATCCTCCAGAGTGTCTGCATTCACCATCAAGAAACTTCCATCATTCAGACCTACACCCAATGCCTTTCCATCAGGAGAAAAGCAGCAACATCTGCCCCCTGGAAGAGACACACAGGAGCTATTTACTTATTCTTTCATTAAATATTCTCAATTTCTGGCTTACCTATTTGTCCAAAAGTTAGGAAAGATTACTCCTGCAGTCTATGTAAACCACACTTTTTTTTTTCCCCCAGGAAGAATTCAAAGAGATAATACAGACCCACTTCCATGAAAGTACACAGATTCTGTTACGGATAAGCAGAGGTACAACTTCATATTTATTTGTATAATTTGATTTTTTTTACTGATATTATCAATATTTATTTTACATTAGTGATCAGGGTAAAGATGAATATTGTTTTACATATTTCTATGTTGCTCACCACAATAGCAATTGGTGCCAGTTGTTTGCTACAATATGCTCTCCTCATACCAAGTGTATAGCAAGGTTCTTCATATGCCATCAGTTACAGTATATTTTCATCTGTCCATGTGCAGTTTGACTATGCAGCATAATGCTGAACACTATATACTTAGCCCTTTCTTTCCTTCTCTTCAGATTTCACAGAATCTTCTTCTAACATTTCTAAAATGTGCTCCTCTTCCTCTAATTTCACTGCTCAAACCCTGGTGTATGTCAGAGTTCTCTTTCCTGGACTACTGCATCTGGCCTGATCTTTTCCTCTCTGGACCCCACCACTTCTGCCTGTACAGAATTCAGCAGCTAAAATATTCTTCCTTTCCCATCACTTCCTCTGCATCAAATCTGGATTCTTCCTTTTTTGCTTCTTTTGAACTGTTCTTCTAGCTTTGTCGCTCATGTCCATTCCATGCCCAGTGTGTGTGCACCACGTGCACTGATGCCAGAGATTTTTCCCTTAGTATCTGTTGGGTCGGCTCTAGTGCCCTCTGGAGATGAGTTTGTATACGCTGGTATAAGGAACGCCACCAGCCATGCACCCTCTCAGTTCCTCCATGCTGGTAACTCCAACAGAGGAGTAAGAAGGTGGGTCATGGAATGGACATGAGCAACACCTCTTGAACAGTTTTGAAAGGTTAGTAACCATTTTTTCTTCAAGTTCTTGCTCATGTCCATTCCATGCTAGATGATTCATAAGCAGTACCCCAGGAGGTGGGCTTGGAGTTCATGGATGTGCTGACTGCAAAACTGCTTTCCCAAAACTGGCATCTTCTTGGGCCTTTTGATGGGGTGAACTCATTCCGCACTGGATTGGGAAGGGTTAACTCCCCACTCTGGGCAGAGGAAGCCACGCCCCCCCGCATCCCTACTGGGCATGCTCCAGGTGTAACACCACTATAAGAAGGGGCAGCCCAGCTCAGTCTGGGTTCTCCACCAGAGAGGAAGGACACTCCTTGCCAGCTGCTGCCCAGGAACCACTGGAGCTCCAGAACACGGAAGTCAGAGATGCTGAGGCCCAAGCAGATGCCCAGCTACCTGTGGACACCCAAGGGAGGTCTGAGCTACAGGAAGTTGCACTGGCTGAGGAACCCAGAGACCCCGAAGACATGCAGACCGCCACCAGGAGTAACACGGTAGGAACACTGGGTGGGGACTAGCCAGTCACCCAATGATGGTCAGCGTATTGTGAACAGATCCCTGCTGACCCAGTGGCAGACACAATTGACACTGACAGGGCCCTGGGCTGGGATCCAGTGGAACAGGGAGGGTCTGGGTCTCCCTACCTGACCACCACCCACTCTCCCAGGGTGACAGCCCACAGACCCCAAGTGGCTGTTAGGCCATACAGCCCCACCTAGAGGACAACTCTATTGACTCCAGCCACTAGGTCATACAGCCCTGCCCAGAGTGCAACTCTACTGACGCTGACTGCCCTGCGACACGAACCTGGGGTATCTCTATTGACTTTGGCAACCAGGCCTTACTGCCTGGAGGGTAACTCTATTGACTCCTGTCGCTAGGCCATACATCCCCCACCCAGAGGACAACTCTATTAACTCTGGCCACCAGGCCTTATTGCCCTGCGAACCTTGGGTATCTCTATTGACTCTGACTGTTAGGCCTTGCTGCCCGGCAAACCCAGGGTGTATCTATGGATTCTGGCCATTAGGCATTACTGCCCTGCAAACCTGGACTAGCTCTATGGACTCTGGCTGCTAGGGATCAGGGCGATTACATAGACTCTGGCCATTGGGCCATAGAGCCCTGCAGGTCAGGGCAACTCTATGGACTTCAGCCCTTAGATCTCACGGCCTAGAGACAGAGGCCAGCTCAAAGGATGGGATGAACTCACCTGGCACTGGACAAGGTCTCCCCACCCATCACAGGCCTATTGGGTGATGGTACATTGGGATGCGTAGGTATGAAACAATGACCAGGTTGCAGCTCTGCAGATGTCCTGGATTGATACCTGGGCAAGGAAGGCTGCTGATGAAGCCCAGGCTCTTGTGCAATGAGCAGTCACAATGGCTGGAGGCTGGATGTTCGCCTGTTCATAGCAAGCCCTAATACAGGCAGTTATTCAGGATGAAGTCTTTGGGTTGACACAGCTGTAGCCCTTTCAACTTTTTCGCTATTGCTACAAAGAGTTGCATAGATTTGCAGAAGGGCTTAGTTCTCTCAATATAAAAGATGAAGACTTGCCTAATGTCCAATGTATAAAGCTATTGTTCCTCAGAGCTTTTGTGAGGTTTTTGGGAAGAAGACAGGTAGAAAAATGACCAAAGGCACCACCTTTGACAGAAAGACGAGATGGGGGCAAAGTTGTCCTGGAAGAACAGGTGGCTCTGACATAAGGGCCCTGATCTCAGAGACCCTTCTGGCCAAAGTAATTGCCATCGGGAAGGCTACCTTCCAGGAGAGAAGTAGTAGGGAGCATGATGCTAATGGCTTGAACACCAATCTGCCATTCACTGGGGGGAGGAAGTGGAAGGCTCAGATGGCTGCCAGATGAACCATAATAGATGAGTGCCAGACCTTGCTGCTTTAGGTTGAGCAAATAATCAAGGATAGAGTGAAGAGAGGATCCAGATGGAGAAAGATCCTGTTCAAAGGCCCAACAAGTGAAACATTTCCACTTGGCCAAGTATGCACCCCTAGTGGAAGGCTTTCTACCTCACAAGAGCTGTCAAACCTCTTCCGAGCATGCCTTTTCTTCAGGGTTCAGCCATGCAGCATCCATGTAGTTAGGTGCAGGGAGGTGAGGTTTGGGTGAAGCAACCGGCCATGGTCTTGTGAAATCAAGTCCGGGCGGAGTGGGAGCACAAGTGGAGCTGCCACTGAGGTCCCGAAGTGTCCCGAACCAATGCTGGCATGGCCATGCCAGTTCTATCAGGATAGCCCTTGCCTTGTCCTGTTTGATTTTTAGGAGAACCTTATGAACCAAGGGGATCAGTGGAAGGCATACAATAGGTGGTCTGCCCATGAGAGCAGGAAGGCATCAGAGAGGGAGCCCAGGCTCTGCCCACGCAGTGAATAGGACTGATGGCATTTCCTGTTCTGCCTGGTGGTCCACCTGGGGAGAAGATGACACTGACAACCTCTGGGTGAAGAGACCACTTGTGGTGAGAGGAGGAAGAGGACTTGCTGAGGTGATCTGCCAACATGTTCCAGGCTCCCAGGTGGTGAGATGAATGGAGTGTCTTGCACAAAAGTCCCCACACAGCAAGAGCTTCCTGACAAAAGGGTGGAGGATTGGACCCCTCCTTGCTTCTTGATATAGAACATGGCTGCTGTATTGTCTGTCAGAACTTGAACCACCTTGTCTGAGACCCAGAGAAGAAACACTTAGCAAGCCAGGCACACCGCTCTGAGCTCCCTGACATTTACGTGCAGGGAGTGTTCTTCTTGGGACCAGAGGCCCTGAGGTTGTTGTTGTGATGGACTCCCCACCCTAGGTCTGACACATCCAAGATTAAAGATACTGATGGCTGTGGGGCCACAAACGGCACTCCCATAGTTATTGACTTTAGCTCCTTCCACTAGCTCAGGGAGGCAAGGACTGGGGGAAGAATCCTAAGACTGAGTTTGTGATACTTGGGGAGTATACTGACACTAGCCACATCTGTAGGGGACTGGGGTGCAGTCTTGCATCTTGAACCACATAAGTGCAAGCCACCATGTGACCCAGTAGCTTGAGGCACACTTGAGCTGTCATGATTGGGTGGGCCACGACCTTTGTTCATATCAGGTTTGCCATTGTCTGGAATCGAGCCTCTGTCAAGAGGGTACTGGCCTGGGTCAAGTCGAGCACAGCCCCAGTAAATTCTATTTCTGAAATGGGAGAATTGTTGACTTGCTTGTTTATCAGCAGGTCCAGCGCCCTAAACATGGTTCAGACTGTGCTGATGCTGTCTTACACTTGAGTCTGCAACCAACCTTGGATCAGCCAGTTGTTGAGGTATGGGTAAACCTGAATGCCTCGCTGCCTAAGGAAGGTTGCTACAACTGCCATACACTTTGTAAAAACCCTGGGGGCTGCTGATAGGCCAAAGGAAAGGGTAGTGAATTGGTAATGGCAATAACCCACTACAAACCTGAAATCTTCCATGGCCACAGAAGATAGAAATGTGAAAGTATGCATCCTTTAAGTTGAAGGTGGCGTATCAATCTCCTGCATCCAGGGAGGGAATGATGGAACCCAGGAAGACCATGCAAAACCTCAGTTTCCTTGATCTCTTGAGGTGATGCAGGTCCAGGATGGGCCAGAGCCCCCCTTTTGCCTTTGGGATTAGAAAATATCGGGCATAAAACCCCTTCTCTCTCAAATCCTGAGAAACTTCCTCCACAGCCCCCATATGTAGGAGGGATTGCACCTCTTGGACAAGCAGCTGCTCATGAGAAGGGTTCCTGAAGAGGGACAGGGATGGGCAGCAGGAGGGAGGGTTGTATAAAAACTGAAGGGTATATTGGACTGTCACTGTGCTCAGGACCCATCAGTCTGTTATGGATGCCCAAACTGGGCTGAAGAGCGACAGATGGTCGAAAAATGAAAGAGGGACAGATCTGAAATGGCAACTGGTACAGCGCCCTCTGGCGCACCTTCAAAAGGCCTGCTTGGGCTCGCTGGAGTATCTCTGGGGCCCTAACTGAGAAGCTAAGGTAGACGGGGTGGTTGGCGCCGCTTAAAACCTCTGCTCTTCTCTTGTAGGGCTCCTGTCTTGGAGGTCCTGAGAACTAAGGAGGCTGCTGGGGCCTGATGTGTTTTCTAGAGGTAGATAGAGCATACAGGCCCAAGGATCATAGTGTGGCCTTTGAGTCTTTCAGTCCATGAAGTCTCATGTCCATCTGTCCCGAGAAAAGAGAGGAGCCTTCAAATGGGAGGTCCTGGATAGACTGTTGGACTTCCTGGAGAAGGACAGAGGTCTGGAGCCAGGAACAGCACCTCATGGTGACCACAGAGGCTGTCTGGACCGCTGAGTCGGCAGCATCCAAAGCCGCCTGGAGAGAGGTCTTAGCCATATTCTTACCCTCCTCTAGAAGGACTGCAAACTCCTGCCTTGCCTCTTGAGGCAGGGAGTCTTTGAACTTAGTCAGGCAGTCCCATAGATTAAAATTGTATCTTCCCCAAAAGAGCCTGCTGATTGGCAATACACAGCTGGAGGCTACATGTGGAATAAACTTTTCTTCCAAAAAGGTCCAGTTTCTTAGCATCCTTTTATTTTGGAGTAGCATTTGACTGGCCCTGCCTGTCCCTTTTGTTCACTTCCGACACCACCAGGGACCCTGGGGGAGGGTGTGAGTACAAATAGTTGAGAAGCTGCTTGCTGGCACATAATAGATGCTTCTCTGCCCTTTTTGAAGTGGGGGCCAGAGAAGAAGGAATCTGCCATAGGGCTTTGTCTGATCCCATCATTGCCTTATTGATGGGCAGGGCTACCTTGATATCCTGGCTGCAGCAACTGTATCCAATAAGGCTGTGTGATGTCTTTGAGCTCCTTGATCTCCAAGACCAGGTTTGAAGTGACCCACTTCAGAAGATCCTGACTTCATCCTGGGGAAATAGTCTGCTGGCACCTGCAACAGCTTCATCTGGGGAGTTTGAGGGGGAGGCTTTCATCGGAGGAGGGACTCCTTACTCTCCTTCTGCCTCGACTATACCCACTGGGCTTTGGTACCTGGGTCAGTGCTGGAGTCTGGATCTGATGCTGAGCAGGAAGGAGCAGTAGCCTGCCTCCAAGAGGCCACCATGTAGGAGAAGTGGGAGTCAGGCCCTGGTACCAGGGGAAACTCCCAGGGGTTCCAGTAGGGGCACTACATCGGCCAGTGACCCACTAGCCAGGCACCCACCTGAGGACCGGCAGTAAAGCTTGGTGGGGTGTAGGCTGGGAACCGATGGTGGGCTTTTCTCAGTACATAGGGCTCCTCTTCAGAATCTGGAGAATGGTGCTGGGAAGAGCTTAGTGCCAGGAGACAGGTTTGAGGGTGGCTTTCATTAGGATAGCCTTCAGTCTGATGTCCCAGTCCTTCTTCGTGCAGGGTCTGAAGTCTTGACAGATTTTGCATTTGTCCTTAAAGTTAGTTTCCCCAAAACTCTTTAAACAACTCGAATGCGGGTCACTCACTGGCACAGATTTGGCACAAGGCATGAAGCCTGGGGACCAGAGCATGCCCGGACTCTGGGGTGAAAAGTCCTTTGATTATAAGAACTATATATACTAGCTATATACAGTGCCACAACTTGCAAAAGACCATATACACTAAACCAGGGGTCTGCAACCTTCAGCATGGGGCCCATCAGGGTAATCCACAGGCAGGCCATGAGACATTTTGTTTGTTCACCATCCGCAGGCACGGCCCCCCGCAGCTCCCAGTGACCACAGTTCGCCGTTCCCAGCCAATGGAAGCTGCGGGAAGCGGCAGCCAGCATAGGGTGACCAGACGTCCTGATTTTAATGGGACTGTCCCGATATTTGCTTATTTGTCCCGCGTCCCGACCTACCTTCGAGCTCTGCCCCCTCCCCCCCCACATCCCAATATTTCACCTGTGTGATCTGGTCACCCTAAGCCAATATGTCCCTGAGGCCAACGGTCCTATAGTATTAACTATACTATAATTCTATAGTATTAACTTCCAGTAGCCTGTTTCTTGTCCCCACTCTGTACCTATTCCGCCACCAGCAGCATATCTCTCTAACTAGTTCCTATTCCTCCCTCCTACAGCCAGTCTCTGTCCCCACAGACCCTCCTCCTCTCCTCTGCAGCCTGACTCTGCCTTCCCTCCCTACTTCTCACTCTCGCAGCCTATCTCTTCCCATTTCCACAGGCCACAGCCTGCCTCTCCCACTCCATCCCTCACCCCTTTGCATTCCCAGCTGATTCCTTCTCATTTGTCATACTAGGGGCATGATCTCACTTCTGATGCCTGGCACTACAGTGTCCCTACTGGCTGGGAGGAGTACTTGCAAGGGCACATCTACTCAGCTCCTGCAGCCCTGAAGTGGAGCGCACCCAGTACAGGCATAATCTTCAGAGAATTTAGTTGCTAAACATTAACCAATATCTACTCAGCATGTGCAAACTGTAATTTTCAGAAGTTTGTTACTCTGCCAAGTGTCGATGGATTTTTACAGGAAGGAGACATCCTGACACAAAGGCAACACTCCTGCTAAATTTCATGTGCCTATTTTAAAGCACAGAGGTGCTGCAGCTTCTCAAGGAAACACTAAGTTTTTTAACATGAGTAAAACAATGTATTTTTCTACCATGTTCTAGGAAACACAAGAATCATTTTTGATGAATCTTTACAAAACAAATTCAGCCTGAGGCATACACCTGGCAGGGAAAATGTCAGCCTAACAGTTAAACTTTGGGAAAGTTATACGCAATTGAAAACAGTCTTATAATGGCAACCTTAACTATAGGATTCACTACCATCTCCACCTATAATCAAGACTTTTTTCTCTGTTCACACACACAAAACTCAACGGGGCCCTCATCCCTATGGGTTTTGACTATGACAACTTCTTCCTCACTGGCCTTGTTGAAACCCACACACCATCTATTCAATAAATAGTTGCTAAGACTATCAGTCTTGCCTATTCTTCCCACATCACTCCCCTCTTCTGCTGTATCAAATTCAAACTTCTTGCTCCCACCTTTAAAATCCTACAGCGCTGCCTGTCCCTACTTGTCTGTTATTGTATCATCCTCCCCTTCCTTGCTCTAGCTGCTTGTCTGGTTTTGCCACAAGTCTTCATTCCTTCTGCCACAACATCCCTTACATATGCAACAACCTCCCTGAACTAGTCTGTAATACTACTATACCGATCCTCCTTTATGTTGTTAACCATATTCTCCCTGTACTTCCCTCCTATTGTTTATTACCCTCACTTATTGCATCTTGTGTTAAATTAGATTATAAACTCTTCTAGGCAAATATTATGTCTTCCACAGTGTCTAGGACATTGGAGCCCCTCTCCAGATTAGGGTGTTTGGGTACTTCTACAATATAATTAATTAGGAATTTTCTTCTTCTTAATAATAATAATTGATGATAGTAATAACCATCTTTCAGAGAGCTATCATGATATTTTCTGTCAGCTTACATATACTTCCTGGCAGATCATCTCCCCAGTTTTAATCCCAAAACAAAAAATCCTCACAAAATTATATAACATCATGTTAAATAACAACAAAAAAGGACCTTCAGCATCAATGCTGTGATTTCATCTGAAAATACCCATGAGCTAAAATTTCATAGTATATATACGATACATAAAATCAACCATTGTTTAAAAATGCCTCCAATAGTAGATAAAAAGTAGTGGGTTTAATGCTGGGGCTTCATCCTTTATTTTAAATTTTCTGGCTTTTAATTAAATCTTATGAAACACTATGACATTTAAATATTTCTTGCAGCTTTTATCTGTTGACTCAGTAATGTCTTCAAACAGAAATTGTTTGAACTAGAGAAAACTTTATATTTTCACATTTTGTCTTTGCAAGATTTAGTATGCTAATTTGTGTTAACTTAGTTCAATTACAATCTCTTTTCATACTAACATCTTACCCTTTTTCAATTTGCGAACAGCTAACATACAATGGCTAGGAGATAGATCCCATATTCTTAAGGTTTTGTCATCACTTACAGTGGCACAAATAGGTAAATGAGGATGGGTGGCTAGACCCCAAACTTCCCCTTCCATGTGACCCTGTTAAAAAAAAAAAAAAAATCAGCTAATTTTATTTCCAAAACTGAAAAAATATACAAGGAAGCTACAAAGCTATATTGAGAATGTGGAAATCTTTGTTGGATGATAAAGAAAACTTCCTAATGAAAACACTCTTGGTTCAGTAATCAGCACAGAATATCTTACATTTTACTTAGAAGCCTTTTAATTTTAATATAAAATTAAAGTAAATTATATTTGATAAAACTGACCTAATGATCTGATTCACTAAATTATCTAATTTTAGAATCTTTTTGTTAACCTAACAATGAAGGGCCAAATTGTCACTGGACTATTCATGTGAATAATTATGACCCAATTTGAGTTAGGAATTCAGTCTGGCCATAAATGTGCATTCTATTACTAAGAAAAAGCCCAATTTGTAAAAAGTATTCATAAACTTCCTTTTATAATCCTTCAAAATAAACATGCATTATTTTAAGTTTGTGCTTAAGATAAAAATATACAATAAACAAAATATTAGCATACCCAAGCCTGACTCAAAAGAGATATAGAGAGATATATAGACAGATATCGCTTTTGATTCAGGATTGTGTGGGTGTGTGTGTAGTTAAAAATCTGTTGTTCATGCATTGTTGGCTGTAATAGCTCTTCATACACATGGATTAAATATGCATCTTACGTATATATGAACAGAAAAGAACAAAGCCACAAGAATGATTCAAGATCTGGAAAACTCATGTTACAATCAGAGACTTAGGAAGCTCAGCCTGTTTAGGATATGAAAGAGAAGGCTAACAAATGACTTATCATGGTTTACAGGTATCTACATAGGGAGAAGATATCTGATTGTACTGGGCTCTTCAATCTAGCAAAGCCATAACAAGATCCAATGGCTGGGAGCTGAAGCTACACCCATTCAAACTGGAAATAAGGCACTATGTTTTAAACAGTGAGGTAATTAACCATTGGAACAACTTACCAAAGGGATGTAGTGGATTTGCCATCATTTAAAGTCTTTAAATCAACAGTAGATGTCTTTCTAAAATATATGTTCTAGTTCAGTGGTTTTCAACCTTTATTCATTTGCGGACCTCTAAAAAATTTCAAATGGAGGTGCGGACCCCTTTGGAAATCTTAGACATAGTATGCAGACCCCCAAGGGTCCACAGACCACAGGTTGAAAACCACTGCTCTAGTTCAACCAGAAATTATGGACATGATGCAGGATTACTGGGTGAAATTCTAGGGCCTGTGTTTTGCAAAAGGTCAAACTAGATTATCATAATGGTCTCTTCCGGGCTTAAAATCTCTGAATTTAAAATCGTTTTCAGACTTCATTAATAGAATGTTTATTATTTTATGTTACTTCTGTTTGAAGTATAATAATATACTTATGATAGAAACTTGCAAAGCCCACTGGATTCTAGGAAGGAAGTGTGTGGGGGGGAGAATATATGGGTAATTATGATGGGGTATCTTGACCCCACACCAGGGAACCAAGGGTTATCGAGCAGCTCTGGGTCCTGAAGGCCCAACTCAGCCGCAGCTGCTGGGCTTGCTCACAGCGGAGGCAGAGCTCCAAAGGAAGCAACTCAGCTCAGTCAGTGCGGACTGAGCAAAGGAGCAGTCTTATGCTGGTAACTCCTGGAGAAAGGCCGCAGGAGCTCCGCACTGCCGGGACCATATCCAGCAGCAGAGCCACTGAAGGCCCCTGTGGAGACCAGGAACAGAGGGCCGGAACCGAACGACAAAGACTCTGATGAGAACCCCCCAACCTGTGAGTTCATAAGATGACACCTTTTGTGACTTTGGAGGGGGCTGAGAATGCAGTAGGAAGTAACGCAGTGAACAGGCTTGGTGGCATCTGCCCCCTAGGCTGCATATCTAACCAACCTGTCACAGGCTCTGGGTTGGAACCTAGGGGAACCTGAACCCTCCCTGCTCTATTATCACTGGCTGCAGAGTCTCGCTGCTGGGTGACATAGGTACAGACTCTCGCCACAGGCTCAGATATTGAACACCCTGACAGTAATATTGTAAATGTACCTGAACCAGCAGAGTTATTGGTCCACTTTTATCCACCTCCAGTATTTCCCCATTCTTTGTGCCCACTAAAATATGACCATGTCCTAACGATATGGCACGTATAGAAGGGTTGTCTTCTAAGAGGAGACCTAAAACATTAAATTTTTAAAGATGTGAGAGTTTAATTTCAGAAGTATATACATTACACCCATATTTTACCAGATCAAATTCAACAGAAAAGAAGTCCTAGCATTTTCCTGCATACAAAACTTGGCTCCAGTGTGGAGCTTTAGTACATATTAGCTAACTTTTAAAACGTCCTCTGTATTGTTGTTACAGAAACCATATAATTTATTCTGTGCCAGCCTTCCAGTTTTTGTTACCCCACCTTCCCTAATAACCCTGCCATATAAGGCAACTGTCAATGATCCTCATGTTCAGTAGACTCTCCTTGAGGTTCAAACAAGGTGAAGAGCATTAACATAGCTATCTAATAAGCATGCTACAAACCTCAGTGAAAGAAATGTGCATACAGCTATGATGCTATCTATCTTAAAGTTAGGGTGGAGTACATCAGTAAAATGTGTTAAACTACTATTTTAATTGTAATAGAAGTTTAATAAGCAAATGGAGAGCCACCCTTTTGACAGTCTAATGATGTAAGCTAAGAACAAAAGATTCTTAGTTTTTTTTAGGGAAGACAGACAGAGAAATCTCCAAAATATCAGACTGGGAAAGCTGTATATCAGGACCAACATCAGCCAGCAAATGGGAGAAATTTGAAGGAACAACAGGCCTGAAAACATTTCAGTACTAATACATGATCACATGAAAACAAGCCAGACAGAGTATTAAACCTTTAATAAAAAAATATATTCTCCCCTCCATTCCTTTATTCCAAATCAGAACAAATAGGAAGATTAAATATGGAACCCCATGGTGCCATTTTTTTAGAATAATTTTTCAGAGCGTAATCGCTCCAATTTTTTTTGAACTACCCTCACTTCTATAGCATAGTGGTCCATTGAGGTCAGTGGAAGGAATGACAATTAGTTCCAAATCAACCTGCTGATTCAGCAAAATAGAAGACACTGTGAAGAGTTTATGGAAATAAACTTTCTGCAACTTATAACTGTAATTCAGTGTAACTGTTACTATATTTTTATAAGCCATGCACAGATTCTCTCTTCAGACCATGGGTTGGTATTAGGCTAAGGATTTAATATCTTTAATCTCTTTCAGGACAAATGTAGTTTTGTCATTGATTTTTGTGGTCCATATTCAAAATGCCCTAATTGGAGTGAGTGTTTATCCTCAAAGATTTACAAATATGCTCAATTCACAAATAAAACTATTTTTTCCTTCATGGTTAGTCTTGCAAACTCAACTTCTGATCAGTGTTAAACTTGGTTCTTTCCTTCTGATATATATAATCGTCAGCGATAAAGGTTCTATAGAACAAATTTGCCTTCCTGGATGTAAACAGGTGAAACTGACTGAGACTTAGTAAAAATTTCAGTTTTTGTTACACAACAATCCCCACATTCACTGTCTCCTGGCTGGCTTGGTCCTAGTACTAATAGGCATGAAAAGCATTATTGTTGTCATTAAAGAACACAGATATGACAGAATACACCAAGGAAGCATATAGGTTAGGTTAGAAGTTGCTATTTTTACTTAGTAATTTTTTCAGAGTAGAAACACTTTAAATAGAACAGTTTTCAAATACAACTTTATTTTTTTTCCTTTTTCAATTTTTACTACAGCAAAACTTGATTTCCTTTTATTGTGGAGGGAGGAAACTTAGAAGAAAAAGCTTACTAAAGACCGTGTTTAAAGGCAGAATAAAACAGAAAGGTTTGATGTACTATACACTCACCTTTAGAGCCAGGGGCCAAAGCAGCTCGTTTGATGGCATAGGTTTTGAGACAGCGTTCAAAGGTGTCATCCCAGAGAGCCACTACCCCATCCTTTCCACCAGTTACAAATCCCTGCCCAAAAAAGTAGAATAGGATTAATTCATAGGTTGTCATCAGTAGATAATTTAATATTTTTTTAAAAAAAGATTATCCTTACTTGTACAATGACTCATGCCAACACTGACAACATTTAGTACATAATAATTAAAGCTAACATTTTGTCATGGTTATTTTTAGTAAAAGTCATGAAAAGGTCACGGGCAATAAACAAAAATTCACGGAACCCATGACCTGTCTGTGACTTTTGCTGCTGCAGCTCCATGATTTCCCCCACCACCATGGTGGCTGGGAGCTGTGCAGTTCCCCCTCTGCCTCTGGCAGCTGCAGGGTGACCATATTTCCCAAAGAGAAAATGGGACATCCCCCAGCCGCTCGCCCAAGGCGTCACTCTTCCCCCCCCCGCCACGCCCTCCACGAGCTGTCACCCATTGCTGGAACCCTGACGAGGGCTCCCTCAGGATCTGTGGCCTGTTGCTGGAACCCTGCCAGGACCCTGTTGGCTGCCAGCTCCAGTCCTGCAGCCCCTGGGGCTGAAGCAGAGAATGTTATGGAGGTCTCTGGAAGTCACAGAATCTGGATTCCGTGACTTCCATGACCTCTGTGACATTTAAACGTAGACTTAATAATAATGTAGCTGTAAAATCATAGGATCATACAAGTTAGAGATAGAAAAGATCTACTAGATCTTCTGGTCCTGCCAATGCAGTACAAGTCTCTACAGTGCATTTTTAGTGCTTTGTCGTCTGCTTTTTAAAGTCCTGCATCTCTGTCACTCTCAAGGAAGACTATTCAGTGGCCTAATACATTTCACTGTTGGGATGTTTTCCTGACAGTTAGCTTAAATTTTCCCTTTCTTAATTTTACCCCTAGATCTGGACCTCCCAGACCACTTTTACAATGGGCGTGGACTAGCATATTTGTGAATGTGGGGAAAGGTTACATCTGTATTTTAATTTTGTGGTTTGGGACCCTTTTCTCTAACAGGAATACTCTATTTCTATTCTTCTGCCTATGTCAGAAGACTGAAATTGTTTCATATGGGGGAAAATATTGACAATAGATACACTGGCAATAAAGCTGGAATCGTTTGATGTTATAAATTAGGAAAAACACAGTTTTATCTTAAACATTCACCATTCCTATATCTAAATTAATTATAACTGTGACAAAAAATGAACACTGTAGCGACTTCGGCTGAAAAGGACATACTTTGGTTTAAACTTATATCTATTCCAGATGACTAAAGCCTAGTTTACATACAAGTTTTGTACCAATGTTACTAGTTTGGTCAGTCGGTGTTTTTTTTTTTAAACTTGAAATAGTCCTCACTATGGGGACGCAGCTGAACTGATATAAAGGTGCCTAATACTGATGTAGCTTATTCCCTTTCCCGTATTGGAATACCCATACCAATATATCTTTATATTCACAGAAGTATACCAAACTAGAGGGCTTGTGTTGTTTAACTATGCAAGAAGAGTTAAAGTGGTATAGTGTAAACAAGGCCTTACTGCAGGGATCGGCAACCTTTGGCTGTGGGCTGTCAGGGAAATCCGCTGGGGGGCCGGGACGGTTTGTTTACCTGCAGCATCCACAGGTTCAGCAGATCACAGCTCCCACTGGCTGTGGTTTGCCGTTCCAGGCCAATGGGGGCTGCGGGAAGCGGCATGGGCTGAGGGATGTGCTGGCCGCTGCTTCCTGCAGCCCGCATTGGGCTGGAATGGTGAACCACAGCCAGGGGGAGCTGTGATCTGCCGAACCTGCGGACGCTGCAGGTAAACAAACCGTCCCGGCCAGCCAGCGAATTTCCCTGACGGCCTGCGTTCCAAAGGTTGCCAATCCCTGCCTTACTGTATGTTGGCACTGTAACAGTTTTCAATTTGTAATCCAACAAAGCCCGTATAATAGTTACTAGATTATATACATAAGGATACAGGATTATATACAATGGATGTAGTTAAAAAGATTTTCATTTACGGATTTTCTACCAGTTTGGAAGAAATTTCCTAGGCGTAAAATGGTGAAAATTGCTATAAATGGTAGAAAGTTTTTAGATATGACCATGTACATGAAGCAAGCCTTAGATCTGCTTAGGGTTGCCAGGCATCTGGTTTTCAGCTGGAATGCCTGGTTGAAAAGGGACCCTGGTGCCTCCAGTCAGCACTGCTGATCGGGCCGTTAAAAAAGTCTGGTCAGCGGCACAGAAGGGCTAAGGCAGGCTCCCTGCCTGCCCTGGCTCTGCACAGCTCCCCGGAAGCGGCTGGCATGTCCCAGCAGCCTCTAGGCACAGGGACGATTAGGGAAGCTCCGTGTGCTGCCCCTGCCCCCAGCGCTGCCCCTGCCAGGAACAGAGCCAATGGGAACTACGGGGGCGGTGCTAAGGGCCGCAGTGACATGCCGGCTGCTTTGGGATGTAGCGTGGAGCCAGAGAAGGCAGGCAGTGAGCCTGCCTTAGCCCCGCTGCGCTGCCGACCAGGAACTGCCTGAGGTAAGCACTGCCCGGCCAGAGCCTGCACCCCAAACTCCCTCGTGCACCCCAACCCCCTGCCTCAGGTCGGAACTCCCTCCCACACCTTAGCTGCATCCCAGACCCCAGACCCCCACCCCCTGCCCCAGGTTAGAACCCCCTCCCGTGCCCTAACTCTCTCCCAGATCTCACACCCCCCCACCCGCATCCCAACCCCCTCCCCTAGCCCTGAGCCCCCTCCTGCACCCCAAACCCCTCATCCTTACCCCAGAGCCCACACCCCGAGCCGGAGCCTGTACCCCCTCCCGTACCCCAACTCCCTACCCCAGCCCTGAGTCTGCTCCCACACTCCAAACCCCTTGGCCCCAGCCCAGAGCCCCCTTCTACACCCCAAACCTCTCATCCCCATCCCCACCCCAGAGCCTTCCCCTCACACCCCAATTCCCTGGCCCAGGCTGGAGCCCCCTCCCACAACCTGAAACCTTCATTTCTGGCCCCACTCTGGAGCCCGCACCCCCAGCTGGAGGCCTCACCTGCTCCCACACCCCAACCTCCTGCCCCAGCCCAGTGAAAGTGAGTAAGGGTAGGGGAGAGCGCGCGATGGAGGGAGGGGGGCTGGATTGAGTGGGGGCGGGGCCTCAGAGAAGGGGCAGGGCAGGAGTGGGGCCTCAAGGAAGAGGTGGGGCAGGGTAAGGGGGTTTGGTTTTGTGCAGTTAGAAAGTTGGCAACCCTACATCTGCTCACGTCTTCACATAGTAACAAACATAACTGGCAATGTTTCTTTTAATGCAATGTAACAGAATCCCCTTTCACCCCCCCCCCCCAAGAGTCCCTCCACTTTACCTGCTTTATCCACTTTTACTCTTAAGGCATCATTAAACAGGAGGGCATGCAGCTCTTAAAATCAATGAGAGGAGTCACTGTAATATAATGATACAATGCACTTCTTCCTACTAGGAAATGCAACACTCTCAGTTCCCACTGACTTGAGAGTGGGGAACACCATCTAGAATCCTGAACTCCAATTATATGGTAATAGACTGCATTCATGTTAGGCCTAGCCACAAAGAGATTTTTATTAATCCAAACTATGTCTCATTTAAAATCCAAATAGTTCACTTACTTTTTCTAATGCATGCATGCTAAATACTGGACCATCATGTGCTTTGACAGTTTTTATGAGAAACAAATCTCTCCAGATACACACATCCCCAGTGGAAGTTCCAGAGAACGCCATCTCTTCAGTCCAGCCGTATACTGCACACATCATTGTATCAGTTCTTCCCATTGCCCCTATGCAGCCCTTTCTCCCAATCAGTCCTCCCCCTGGTTTAGAATAAAAACAAGTAATCAAATGCTTGCATAACTATCACATTCAAAGGAATTTATAGGGCAACCTATCCAGAATAATAAATCTGTTTTCCTCTAGCCTAGGAATAAGCAAACTTTGAAGGTTCTTCACAAATCATTACTTCTCACCTTCCCCCACTTTTTGGCACATCTGAAGAAAAAATAATGCATTTCACCTTTACGAATTCATTTTACATGCTGCTTGAATCAGGAGTTGAATTTATATACACACACATGTAAACATGCATACAGATATATCGGAGAGACAGTGTCTAAATACAGACCTTAATTTTCTGTCATGATAGTATGATATAAAGATTTTAATGGAATGAGTGGGATGACCATATTACTTCAATGTAAAAACTTTAACCCCTACTAACACATTATTTTCATGCTATATTTTTGGAGGAAAATTATTTTAGAACTTTAGCTTTAAAATCTGTGTTGATACAATATCCTGTACTGGCCTATAAGTGACAGAAATGTTATTACCAATATATTTGAAAAGCCTCTAAAATGTATTTAAAATAGTTTCTGTATGTCAGGATGCCCATGTCCAGTATCTTGTGACCTGTCAGGTGTGAAAACAAGATGTGAATGTTCACAAAATTCTCAGAGTAACTCCAAGTATGAGGCAACAGTGCCACCTAACAGATGAAGATCTAGGGATTTTTATATCTTCAAAGCACTGTGCTATGTCTTCAGTGACAAACCTCTGGATCTGTTTGCCAGCATTTGGCACTGATGAAGATTTCCCCCCAAACATGTACTTCAGTATCATGTGATCTCAGGTCTGCCAGTTCCAGCTCTAGTTTCAGTAGTGGATCTTGACTTAGAATATAGTAGGATTGACCTATATCTCAGTGCTTATACTCACAATGATAAGTCTCCTTCACAATGACTATCCCTACACTTTCTACATGATACTGCCACTACATGCATAAATCTTGAGTTTATGAAAAAGTGTGTATGGAGGATATGTCATAAGGGCCCCAATTTTGCCAACCCATCGGGCAGAGGTGATAGAGACAAGAAAGGCCATTTTCATTGATAAGTGAACGTAAGAACACGTCGCCACTGGTTCAAACAGAGGTCTAGTAAGAGAGTGTAGAACAAGGCTGGGGTCGGATCTTGTATGTGGGGATAAATATTTCGGAGACCCTTCAGGAAACATTTTCTGAATAGATGTGTGAAGGTAGAATGGCCGTCTATTGTGGCAGTGAAAAGTGGCAATGGCTGCCAAATGCACATGACTGGAGCTGGTGGATAATCCCGACCATTTAAGGCTGGGGCGGGCAAAGTTTTTGGCCTGAGGGCTGCATCGGGTTTCGTAAATTGTATAGAGGGCCGGTTAGGGGAGAGGGTTGTGGCCTGGCCCCCACCTCTTATCTCCCCCCCCGGGACTCCTGCCCCATCCAACCCCCCTGTTCCCTGACGGCCCCTCCCGGGACCCCTGCCCCATCCAACCACCCCTTCTCCCTGTCCCCTGACTGCCCACGGAACCCCTGCCCCTGACTGTCCCCCACCACCCCATCCAACTCCTCTCCTTCCTGATTGCCCCCCGGGACCCCTGCTCCCATTCAACCCCATTCCCCCCCGACCGTCCCGATCTCTATCCACACCCCTGCCTCCTGACCACCACCTCGAACTCCCCTGCCCGCTTACCACACTGCCCGGCTCCAGCCGGGCCACGCTGCCACCGCCACCATGCAGCACACAGCACCAAGGCAGGCCCGGCACTGCAGCTGCACAGCCCCAGGAGCTCACAGCCCTGCTGCCCAGAACATTACGCCGGTGGCAGAGCGAGCGAGCTGAGGATGCGGGGGAGCAGGAACAGCAGGGGAGGGTCCGGGGGCTAGTATCCCGGGGCATGAGCTCGGGGGCCAGGCAGGACAGTCCCACAGGCCACCGTAGTTTGCCCACCTCTGATTTAAGGTGTAAAATATAGCCTAGGATAAGTGGTAGTTGAGCGCTTATTGCATCGACCTGATGGGAGGCGCACCAGCATTGGAACCTAGTCCATTTGTGACATTAAGTGCATCTAGTCGTGTTGCATCTGCTATTCAAGAGTATCTGTTTAACTGCATCTGAACAGGTTATTTCCAATTCCAAGAACCACGGAGGAGCCAGGCTTTGAGGTGGAGCATCTGTGGATTGGGATGGAGGATGTGACCCGCATCCTGTGAAATGAGTTTTGGAGTTGGATGGAGGAGATGGGTTGGCATACCATCATGCGAAAGAGGCATACCAGATCTGTTGTGGACATGTTGGCGCGATAAGGATGACATGGACTCAATCCCCCTGAATCTTGTGCAGTTCTCAAAACAGAAAGGGGAAGGGAGGGAAGACATAGAGCAGTGGTGCATCCCATGTGATGAGGAATGTGTCTCCCAAAGACCTGTGTCCAATCCCACTCTTGAGCAGAATTGAGGGCATCGGACATTTTGTGGTGTGGCAAAAAGATCTACGTTGAGGAATCACCAGTGTTTGAAGATAAGCTGAATGATTTATTTATCCAGTTCCCAGTTGTGATCATGGAAGAATCTTCTGCTCAATGAGTCCACAGTGATGTTCTGGTGTCCAGGGAGGTATGTGGCTGAGATGTTGATGTCATGTTGGATACACCATCTCCATAATTTCAGTGCCCCTGAGTATAAAGAGTGTGACCTTGCTCTGCCTTGTCTGTTGATGTAAAAACACGCAGACGATATTGTCTATCATGACTTTGATGGTGCGATATGCAATCAGTGGGAGGAAACATCAATAGGCATTGCAGACCACCTGTAGCTCTAGGAGGCTGATGTGTAGGGTAGATTTGGTTAAAGACCATCTTCCCTCCACTGTATGAGTGTGAAGGTGCATTCCCCGACCGATGAAGGAGGCGTCAGTTGTTAGAATCATGATTGGTGCTGGCTGAAGGAAATGAATTCCGACACCGATGTTCTTGGGCTGTGTCTACCAGAGTAGTGAGTCCATGACCATGCTCAGCATGGATAACAGTTTGTGTCTGTGAGGGACATATGCTGTACAGACATCTGCCTGAAGACATCGCTTGTGTAATTATGTGTGCTTTATCCATGAATGCGGTGGCTGTCATGTGTCCTATTACCCGGAGAGACATTCTGTTGGAAATCTGGGCACAGGCTTGCACCTTGGATACATGATCCACTATAGTCAAGAATGTGTGAGGCGGAAGGAAGGCTCTGTCTTGTATGGCATCTAGTTGTGTGGCGATGAACTCCAGGTGTTGTACTGGTATTAAAATAGACTTCTCCAAGTTCACATGGAGGCCTAAATTCGTGAAAAGGTCCATTGAGACCTGGATGGCACGAAAAGTGTCAGCTTTGGATGAGACCTTGAGGAGACAGTCGTCTATGTATGGAAAGATGACAACGCCTTTTTTACTTAGGGAGGCGAGCAACTACCACAAAGACTTTGGAGAACACACAAGGGGCTGTTGACAGTCCAAAAGGCAGTACCTTGTACTGATAATGATTGGCTCCCATGGTGAACCAGAGAAACCATCTGTGGGCCGGGTGTATTGTGAAATGGAAATACGCATCTTGGAGGTCAAGGGCCGAGAACCAGTCCCCCATTCCAGTGCTGGGATAATGGTAGAGAAGGTAACCATCTTGAAGTGTTGAAGTTTGACAAACTTGTTTAGGTTTTGAAGGTCCAGGATCGGCCACCAGTCGCCGGATTTCTTCTGGATCAGAAAAAATGGGAATAGAAACCCATTCCTCTATGTTGGGAAGGGACCAGTTCTATGGCTCACAGGTGCAGAAGATGATTTATTTCTTCTTGTAAAATGGGTTCATGAGAGGGGTTCCTGAAGAGGGATGGGGAGAGAGGTGGGAGGGGCAGGATAGATAGGAAAGGGATGGAGTATCCTTCCCTGATGATCTCTAGAACCCATATGTCTGAGGTGATTAGTCTCCAGGATGGAAAGAACGGAGCTAATCAGTCACCAAACTGGTGGGACGTCGAAGACGGTTGATATGACTGGAAAAGGGGGGAGGCTTCTTGAGGCCTTGACCACACCTTCAAAACTGTTGCTTGGCTGCAGGTGTTTGAGAGGTAGTCCCTTGAGGAGTGGCCTATCTACATTTGGTAGGGGGCTTTTATTGTTGGCGCTGAGTGTCATAGTGCTGCTGAGGAGTGTACTGCAGTGGTCAGGATCGCAGGGGGAGATGATACTTTCGTAGGTGTCTCTTTGGCACTGGTGTGTAAATACTAAGGAAGCGGCAAGTAGCTCAGCAGTCTTTTAAGGGTGGGTAGGGAATCAACCATATGCACCATGAATAGTTTGGGGCCCTCAAAGGGTAAGTCTTTAACTGGTTTGTACCTCCTTAGGAAACCCTGAGAGGTGCAGTCATGGCGCCCACTTCATAACCATGCAGTTGCGATGGAGTGGGTGGTGATATCCGCAGAGTCTAATGAGGCCTGTAGGGGCCAAGAGGTGTCCCTCAGATATAAGCACCTGGAATTGTTCTTTCTTGGCCTCAGGAAGGTTATGGCCGTGTTCCTCTATTCTGGAGTAGTTGAGGTAGTTGTACTTGGCCATAAGAGCCTCGTAATTAGCTATTCGAAATTGGAGTGTGGCAGATGAATAAGTCTTGCGTCCAAATAAATTAAGCATTTCCAGTGTCTGTCCTGATGGGTAGATCAAGATTGATACTTGTCATCCTCTCTCTTGCTACTAGAGAATTTGGGGTGGTATGCGAGAAAAGAAATTCCACAACTTTTGCAAGAACATTTTTGTCTGCCCATTTTCAGGTTGGAGGGATGGTCACTAGGGTCTGTCAGAGCACTTTTGCAGGATTGAGAAGAACCTTGTTGATAGGTAGGGCAATTTTGGAGGAAGATAATGTGTGCAGGACATTGAGCAATTTATGCTGCTGATCTTTCACTTCCTCCAAAGGAATCTGTAGGGAGACTGCAATCCTGTGGAATAATTCGTGAATGTGTCTGAAGTT